GTTATGGATATGAATGAGAACGCTCTATTTGACTGAAGCAAATAAAGGAAATTTACTGGTTCATTAAACTTGGAAGTTCAGAGGTAAAGCTGGCTCTGGGAGCTCAGATGAAACCATCAGCACTTTCTTGTCCTCTCTCACACCCTCTCCCTCTCTCATCCACTTCTGTTAGTGTATTACACTTTCTTTCAGTATAAATTGGCTTTATTTGTGCAGAGGGTGCAGCCCTGGCAGGCAGCTACACGCTTGCAGAATCCCAGCTTAGCTCTAGGAGGAAGAGAGTGTCTCTCAATTTTAGCATCTATAAGTAAAACCTCAGGGGAATACCTGACTGGCCTCTCTTGGGTCATGTGGCCACGACTGATATCCAAAGGTTTGGCAGGGTATTTGATTGGCCGACTCCCCTGAGCAACATTACCTGCCAAAAAGTGTTTTTCTCTAGCAGAAGTGGGCAGGACTGCCTAAAGAATGGGGCAGGTTTGCTCAACAGACCAAAACCACAAACATCATAGTTATTCACATCATGTATCACAAGAGACTGAAGCTCAAACATGTCAACTGAATCGTCTCCCTGTGTGTAATGATGATGATTACAACAATTAATATCTTAACTCTTGGGGTCATTTGCTTATGTTTTTCCCTCAATCCAAGATGTGTTCCCCTCCACTGGAGCTCTGCCTATCAAAATTCTGCTTCTTTTTCAAAATTCAGTGCAAATATCACTTCCTCCAGGAAACTGCTCATAACTCCCAGGAATGAAAACAAATGATCCTTTGCAGTCTTAGTGTGTACTGGACCATTATTAGCCTTGCTTCTGTGGCAGAATCTTCTGGGCAGCTGGTTCCCATGCTACACTTCCATCCAATATTTTGTGACTACCAAAGCACAAATACTCATCCTTTAAACTCATAACTTTCATGTCAGCTGCTTTTGCAACAGACAGATTATTGCTTCTATGACAGCCTATGACTTTGCATTTACACCAAAAAATTCTATTTTATTGAATAAGGCAACACCTCCTTTTACACTTCATGATAGTTTTAAAATAATGTTCAGATTGTTGAAACCTCACTCTTTGAAGGTCTCATTATCCTCCTCTGAGTCTGGATGGGAACTACTGACTTGCTTCTAGTGGTGTGGATAAAAAGGTTTCTATGATGGTGTGCAATTTGGGACGCAAGGTAACAAATGGCCCAGGAACTTCCTCCTGCTCTCCTGTATTTCTCACTCTGGGTGAAGGGATTCATAACTGCCTTGAAGTTGTGAGAACACTCAGTCTAGGGAAAGCCCACATGAAGAGGGCCATGTGAGTGAGCATCTCCCATGCACATCTGCTAGCCCCAGTCGAGCCTTCAGATGACAGCAGCCCTGTGACAGCCTGAGTGCAACCCCATGAGACACACTGAGCTGGAACCTCTCAGCTAAGTGGCTCCATAATTTGCACCCACAGAAACTGAGATATGTGTCTGTTGTTTTAAGTCAGAAGTTTGGGGATAATTTCTTTCATAGCCATGTACAACAATCACACACTTCTCCACATAAAACCTGGTGAATATTAATGCAGGGTTTCTTAGCCTGGGCTCCTAGGAAACAGAACCTAAGCACAAAGCCAGTGTGCTAGTACTTAATTATAAGGTTTATTCCAGGGAAACAAGAGTGAGAAAGGAGGGAGAACAAATCCTAGAATGCATTACTGAGCAGGCCCCTGCTTGGCATCAATTGCAACTGATTGTTCCAGCTTGCAACACTAATTCTGAAAGACTAAAGATTTAATTGCATCTCAGGTTAGTTTGTTCAGGGGAAGAAAGTGAAAAGAATGTATCCATCAGATCCCATTTCCCTTTAGTTAAAGAGAGCTGTTCTCCACAGGACATTAACTCTCTATATTTCCCAGGTAAAGTTTGTATGACCCCTCTGTTAGTCAACTTTCTGTGACTATTAACAAATACCTGAGATAATCACATTACAAAGAGAAAAGTTTGGCTTTCGTTTAGTTTTAGAGGTTCTAGTGCATGTTAGGTTGCCACTGTTGCTTTGAGCCTGTAGTAGCACATCGTGGTGGAACAAAACTGCTCACCTCAAGGTTGGTTGGGAAGTGAAAGAAGAAACAGAAGAAGAGACTGGGGTCCCACTACTTGCCCCTTCAAGGACATTGACACAGTAACCTAAAGAACGCACCCTAGGCCCCATCTCTGAAGTATTCTAGAACCTCCCAATACTGCTGCTCTGAGGAATCAGTCTTTAACATGGACCTTGGGGAAACATTTAAGATCCAAACTATAGTAGACCCCAAGTGATAGTGTCCCTGGTGTCATATGACTCAAGATGAACAAAGAAGCCCCAGGGCATCATACCTCTTTGTGAGGCATGAGGCACTGCTGGGTTGTGCCCACCTAAGCTCAGTTACAGCTCACACAAACCCGCTCACAAAAAGGCAGCTGGAACAGAATGAATGGACTAAGGCTCTGGATAGATAGGGCTGAGAGGCTCTGAAGTGGCATAAACAAGGTACCCAATAAGCAGGCTATAGGTGGCACAGCCTGTTAACTACAAGTCTATGATCAACCCAACTCTAAAAAGGCACCTGGACATATCTCAGAGATTGTAACCAGTGAATTTGAATTACATCTTGTCTGAAGAAACTGGTTATAATAGAAGTGGAGGATCTGTGAGCTGGGAGTGCAGCAAGAGACATGGGCAGTGGCTCCCCAACACACCCAGACTCACATGTACCTCGACTCACACATGTGTGTGTGTGTGTGTGTGTGTGTGTGTGTGTGTGTGGCCGTGTGTGGCCAGTAAGCAGGCATACCCTCAAATGAAAATGACTAGCTCTGCCTCACAGAACTTAATGACACCTGCCATTATGCACCAGATAGCTGAATCCTCTTGTTGTACTCTAGGGCTCCCTGGGTAACTATTCCTTTATCATCCATCCTCCCAAGTACATCTCCCAAAGGGAGCAAGTGTTCTGATGCACAAGCAAGAGCATCAGATCCACTTGAGAACTGTGCAGCCCAGTCAGTGTGTAAATACAACCACCTTTCCCTTATCCAATTAATTGTTCCTTCTCTCCCCTGCTGGCATGCACCAGAGTGATCTACTAGCCCTCTGCAGTAAGACCTGGCTTCGCTGCTCTTCTCTTTTCCCCAAACTGCTACCCAGGCTTATAAATAACCACCATATAAAAAGGTTTAGTCTATATAGCCTAAGTGGACATGCACATGGCTGTAGATGGCATATAGAAACCAGAGTCCTTTGAGGTGGCTTAGCCACACCCAGCACCCTTGAGGAGGAAGGAGGAGGGGTGCTTTCCTGAGCTTCTTCCATGAGAACACCAACACCCAGTTCTCCAGCCTGCCAGGAACTCTGCCACCTGCTCCAGGGTGGGTCTTTTTCAAGAACCATGCTGTGCTTCTCCTCTTGGCATATTTTACCTACTAGTTTCCCTGCTATCAGCTGGCACAGAGCACACCTACATCTCAGAGGAGGCGACCCTGCTAACTGTGCTCCCCTACTAACTGGAATGCCCAGTATCTTTCTCTCTTCTCCTCCAGGGGACAGGGAGAACACCTCCCTTTGCTGTTTTCTGAGCTTGACTCCAGCTTCCTATAGCAGGCTCTTCCTTCCGGAGATGGGCTTAGTGCTCTCTTTGGCATAGATTAAAGTACACAGCTATCCAGGGTTGTACTGCTTCTTCCATTCATTCATTGAATGTTTTGGAGTTCCTATTTAGAAGCAGAATAATTGTGGTAGAAATAAAGCCACATATCTGAATATTTATGAAATATAGCTTTTTTTTTCATTTACTTAAAGAACATGATGGACGAAATGAGCTGTGCATCAGTTTCAGCCTGATGCATCAGCCATCGGGTGATTGTTTCACATCAGTTCAGTTCTGAACTCACCAGGTCTTCTTCGCATACTAAGCACTATCCGAAGCCCACCTCCTTCCTCCTTTCCAGAAATCATTTGGGGATCCACAGAGGCGTGAGGCTCTTTTATTCAAAAGTAAATAGGTAGCATTTGAAAAGTGACTCAAGGGTACATTCTAAAATCTCGGGAAGTAACAGTAAACATAGATAATCTATAAATGAGAAAAGAGATTCAGACGCACATTTGGAAAGAAAAGGAGTTGCGGCATTCCTCCAGAAGTCAGTGGTATGGTACTGAGGCAGGAAGACACGGCAGATATTAGGATTGGTTGAGTTTTTTACTTCTAGGATATGTGGCATTGAGTTCTTCTGAAGGCTTCATTGTTGGCTCTCTCATCACAGTGCCAACAGGCACTCTGGGATAAGAAGGAGTCCTGGACTTGGGGTGCCCGATGACTGCAAATATGATGCCTACCCTACCTTCAAAAGGCTCACAATCTGAGGAGAAATGCTCCTAAACCAAAGTACAAGAATCTGCCAGGAGATTTAACCCTGCATATGCACCAGAATCTCTGGAGACATTTTTTCAATACTCATGCCTGAGCCCTACCTGAATTTCCCGAGTCTCAATCTCTCTCCCCTCAGACTCAGACATCGCATCCATCAAGGTTTCCAATAGCCTCCAGCCTCCAGTCTCCTTGCACAAGTACCCCATGCTGGGTTTTTATTGACTTCCTCCTATTGGTCACCTGCCCTCCAGCTCCCACTGGACCCTGAGGCTGGTGAGTCAAAGAAATGGCTGTCTTATGATCAGAGCATTTCTTTTCAGAGAGGGTTAGGGATTCAAAATTAAAGTTAGTGGTTAAGTTTTCATATTGATACTTGAAATCCTATGTAGTATTTTCCTATTTAGTTGTAATCTGGGCATACTATTTATCATTTTGAAATTTTCAAGCAAAGTTCCTAAGCCTCCTATCATATACCCCGAGATCTCATTAGTGCAGACAGTGACTTGGTCTAAATCTCTTCTACTGCAGGACTGAAAGGTGAGACCAGAGAAGGGGACAGCTGTCAGGAAACTCTACACACAAAACTGCTCTGACTTTCTCCCTCAGCCAGTGACTCACCACAGCTGCCACATGACAGGATGGCCGAGGCCATACATGGGACACTGTAAACATCACCCAATTGCCAGTTTTCACATTTTGGAAAGATCTAGAAATGGGAAAACAGAGTATGATAAGCCCTAAAACCACATCACATCTCCACACTCCATGCCGCTTATTTTCGATTACTAATGTCATCAGTGTGTCATCTGGTGGTGACATACACTGTTTCTCCTCAAAACCCCTCTAGTAGCAAATGTTCTATGGGGTCACTTTCTCCATCAGCTGAGTCAGAATCACAAAATTTTGGAATAACACAGTTGACAGATCTTCCTAAAAACTGGAGATCTGTGTGTCTCTTGAGTGCCTAGCATGGCCCAGCCACCCCATATATATTTTATTTCACTTTAATCTGCATACAAACTCTGACACAGAGTCTTTATTGTTCTCATATTTTATTTGGAGGAAAAAAAAACAACCTAGATCCATACAATCTAAAACCTCTGTTTCTCAAAGTGAGAATTGTGTACAAGTCCGTATGTCCAGAACTGTAAACAATTAAACACAATACGTCCTCTAAAGTGAAGATTGTATTTGATGGAAAATCATTTAAAACACTGTTTTTACTAAATAAATGTGAACGTATTGTGGGAGAATACGACTGCACAAAATTTAAAGATTAAAACATGAAGTCATACTATGGTAAGTTAATTCTGGCTTTACTCACCTCAGGACCCGCAGGGCTCTGCCATAGTCCTCTCTGTGGTGAGGAAGATTTTGACAGAAATATTCAAAAGCATAGCCATAAGGGGACTCAGTTTCAGCCTAAACCAGAGCCCAGGAATGGCGCCCCCAAGTGGAGAAGAGGGAATTGGCTTGTCATCAAAGAGCATAGATTACAGGCTGCTTTGAAGCTTAGTTTCCATGTCCATCACTAGCAGGGTGCACATGATACGTTATGGGTTCCCAAGCTCCTTGCCACCTAACATGCTTTCAGAGTCAGTGCAAAACTGGAATGGGTAGAAACATGAAAACCAAATTAGGTGAGCAGTGCCATTGCTCACACACTAATTATAAACACAGATTCTAGGAGGGAATATCCATGATAACTTTGATATATTTGCAAAGTAATTGAGAGTCAACAAAACTCTCTTACGCATGCCAATTTATTTAATTTTACTCATGCTTCAAATATTTTGAGGTGCTAATTTATTCTGCACTAACATCTAGGGCCAGGAAGGCCCTGGAAGAATTCAACGATGACTGTCTGCAAGGAGCTCAGAGTCAAGAGGAGGAGGAGATACAAGCAACCACAATTCAATAGACAAGTGTCAGTAAATCAGGATTTCTGCTTGTGTTGTAAGGGACTCAAGCTGGCTTAACTGACAAAGGAGATGTATTTCTCACATAATGAACATGTTCAGGGTAACTTTAAAGCCCAGGTTTATCTTTATCTGGAGGCTTGAATAGTATATGTATCACTTCTCTAATCTCTTGGCTTTACCTTATGCTGGGCTGGCATTGCTTTCAGCTTCTGTCACGGCAGCCAATCACAGCTTCAGGTTCAGGTCTTCCAAGGCTCTATTTGACCTGAAAATAGAGCATCATTCTCCTTCAAGTTTTTATGAAAATCCAGAGTCTGATTATCCTTGGCCTGAGTTATAGTCATGTACCATCCCAGGAGCCATGGGAATGAAATTAGTTGACTGTTAACTGAGGGTCACAAACCATCCCGCCTCCAGAGCTGGAGTGGAGTCAGGCCCACCCAAACCACACAGCCTTAATATCTAAGTATCAATCTGATAAACGCTTGGGACTTAGTCCCCAATGACTCAGTCCTGGGCTCTCTCCCTTAAGGAGCAATGCTAGAATTTGGGATGGGTCAGTTTAGTATGGTCCCATGTGAGGAGGAAATGTTTCACATGCCTGCCTCTAATGCTGGTACCGCCAGTTCCTGGTGATGAGTTCTGCTTCTTCACATGTGCAAGTATTATGGAAGTATAACATTAGAGAAGCATGCCAAGGCAAGCATATGAAGCAGGGTTTATTTAAAAGGGATAATAAAAAGACTTCTCCCAGAAGGGGAAGGAAGGAGGCCCAGGGTGCATTAAATAACAACTTTTACAACTCCCTAAAGGGAGGGACAAGCCCTGGAACAGTTACTTTAACAGATGGGAGCAGGGGCAGGTTATCTGGATAAGGGTGGAGGAAGGGCTCTGAAGGCATTAACATTGCAATTCCTCAGTGGTGGTCTCTACCTTCCCAGACCCAGATTGGCCTTCATTATCCCCATCTGACCCAGATCACCCATCTACACTAACTGCCTGTCTTTAATTCTGGCTTCAATACCAGTAACACTGCCTCCCATTATTATGACAATTTAAAACACTGGCACACTTTCAAATGTCCATTTAGTGGGTTGAACCTCCCTTATTTGAGAAAAGCTGTGTTATCACAAGTGAGCCTTAATATCAGGAGTTCCCTACTTCTCAATTTTAAATATGAGTTCTAGCTTTTGGCTTGAGAGATAACGTGAACTTTGGACACATTTGAGAGATCATCAAGTCTCTCTTGGGTCAGTAGGTGGCCTGGAGAGAGGGCCTCCCAGGTGGGAGAGAAAAGGTGGGATGATGCTCTGGTTTGTATATGTGTCCCAAAGGCCTATGTGGTGAATTCTTGGTCCCTATGGCACTATTAAGAGGCAGTGGAACCTTTAGAAGGCCAGGCCTAACCTTTAGGAGGTCCTTAGGTCAGTGGGGATATTCTGTTTGAATAGGTAGATAGTGGGATGGTGGGATCCCAGTCTCCTCTTCTTGTGATCATAAGATGAACAGTTTATGCATTCACTAGAGGTCCAAAGCTTCCTAGCTCAAATGTAAACGTTTACTCTGCCACCCACCCTCACCATGATGTGCTGCTATTTCCAGAGGCCTAAAGTTATAGGGCCATCTGATTTTGGATTGGAACCTATAGAACGACATGTCAAAATGCACCTTCTTTTTTATTATTATTATTATTCTTTTTTAGTTGTTGACAGACCTTTATTTTATTCATTTATTTTTATAACCCAGCGCCTCACACATGTGAGGCAAGCACTCTACCAATGAACCATGATGCCAGCCCTGAACCTTCTATCTTTATAAGATGCAATACCCAATTGCCTCAGGTATTTTGTTATAGTAATGCAAAGCTATTCCAGTTGGTAATTTATCTCTGGAAGGTGAATATTAAAGGTTGGATATAGTAGGTCTCAGTTTCCCATTAACACTCCTCTTTTTCAGAAAATGAAAGCAAGGAATTAACACTCTTTTTATAGTCAGAATTTTGGCTGTTTCTTAAGGAAGAAAGAATTTATCCTCCTTTATTTGAATAAGATAAGAAATTATAGGCTTGTGAGAAATGGAGTGTTTAACTCTGGACAATGCTGAGAGATGTTACCAAACTGATCTGTGCTCTGGAACAGCCAATAAGATAGGCAGGATTTAAAACTCACCACCACATAAAGAATATTTCAAGGAACAAGCAAATTCTTCTTACCTGGGAGAATACTAAAAATAAGAGAGGAAATTGGTCTCTAAGATAATGAAGATTAGCACCCAGGAGTAGACTTGAGATTTCTCTCTATAGTCTAAAGGGGCAGAATCAGTTCTAATAGGAACTGGAAACACTTGGACAATAAGAGAGATCTAGTAAAAGAATGCACTTTCTGGAAAGATAGTGAGCTCCCCACTGCTGGAGGTATCCAAGAACATAGTGGGTTGCTGAAGTAGATTTGAAGTTTGAGTTGTCAAATGCTCTAAAGCTGCAAAAACTAGATGAAGTTTAAATGTATCACACATTGCTAACAGAGACCAAAAAGAGAGAATAGGTTCTAAATGATGCTCAATTTCATCAGAATCATCCTTTCCTCCCCCACTCAAAAAAGCCTATCAGAACATGAGTGTGAGGGACATCTCGATACAAAAATTTCCAATCTGTTATAATGGACAAAGAAAAAAATGAAAATCTTTAACAAAGTTTGGTATTTTATTGATAGTGAAATGTTTTTGTCAAAACACATAGTCAATTGATTAAGAACTGCTAGCCTTAAACATAAATTTTGAATAAATCACATTTTACTAAAGATTTTATAAACCATGATTTTCAAGTGGATGAAGCCTTCCCTGCTTAGGTATATGCCAAAATTTATTTATACAATTTTATATGATGGAATATTTAAAAATTTTTTCCATTTTTCATTATTATCATGCATATATAATAAATATTTTTATAAAAGCAAACAAACAAAAGAACTGCTGGCCTACGGGGTTGTACCAAACAGCCTCTAAGGTTAGCCTAATCAAAGGTCGAGTCTACGCCTAATACTGCATGGGCTGGAGAGCCTGGAGAGAGCTTTGTATCTACCTGCAGGAGCGCTGGCAGAGTGGTGTGCTCCATAGTACTTCCAACCATCTCATGGACAATCAGAGGCTCACGAATGATCAAAGGTTAAAATGGGTTTCACTTCACCCAGATCCTGGCACTTCCTGGAGGAGTGGTAGCAAGTCTCATAAAGCGATTGTGACTTCGCTGTGTCACTCCCTCATCTGAACAAGTACCAGCTGAGACAGCTCTCTTTGTACAGGGCCATCTCTGTCAGGCAGTTGAGCCCGGGATAGGAATGACGTTTGGCATTGCCAGCCTCTAGCGACAAAGCCATTTTAAATCAGAAATGCGATGGGTGCAGGATGCCAGATCAGGTGTTACTGGGTCTGGAAAGCTGCCCGCTCTCCATCAGGAGGTCCCCTCCAGTGCAACCAACTCCCTGCTCAATGAGTATTTCATGACCATCCAGTCCCTATGAGTGGAAATGTTACTGTGTTTCATACTATAAGGTTTGGCATAAATTCTTAGCCACAGCTTAATTTACAAACATGGGTACTCTGTAGAGCACCAGAGGCCTCGGAGATTGTTTGAGTTAATGTACAGAAAGATGTGAAAAAGGAGGATTTGGTCTTTTTCAAAGGGACCAGAGTGGCTGAGCCTTATTCTTTTCCTTATAAAGAAATAAGTGCACAGTTTACTGCCACCAACACTCCTTTCTTCACATCACCAAAGTCATTTTTTCTACTCTTCAGAATAAAGTGATGCTGTTGCTTCGTTACAAGGACTCACAGGAACAAAGATTCTTCTTAGGAGATGTATGACCCTCAGTGCAGCCGCTCGCTGCCCGCCCCCCTCCTTGTTGCTATGGTTAGAGATGCACTGTTCTTCTCTTTAACCCGCTGAGGCTCAGAGCCATCAACACTCATTTGTGCTATTCTGCTTCATGCAAATTAAGGCAGAGTTGCTGCCCTCCTCTCATGGTGCCTCCTGTCAGACTGAACAAAATGAATATTCAGCCTCACACATTCAAAAATATGTATTAAGCTCCAATATGGGCTGGCTTGGTATCCATCTCAAGTTGATTGTACTTTTCTGTAAAACATCTAGTTTATAGATAGATTTGCTTCCTGTTTTACTAGGGAAAGTAGTATTTTATTTCCTATTTTGCTATTTTACTTGCCAAATAGTCTTAATAAATGTAGAGGCAGAGGCTCTTCAAAAATTATAAAAATGAGGTAACCTATTCCAGGAGTCTACAATCAACCCCTTTTCCTCCCCACTTTGTGCGGTTCCCTGGGCATACAATTGCCTTTTGAGGTTATAATTAGCAACTGAAGTCTATGTCATCACTCCATCTAGCAGTGCTGGATTTCAGACCCGAGTATCTAGCTACTAACCAGTAATCTCCAGAAGTCTGGCTGGAAATCAGATTCATGACATTCCCAAACCAGAATTCATCATTTGTCAAGCCCCATGCCCTCCTCCACCAACAAACTGGCTTCCCTCCCTGTACTCTCAGTCTGAGCTGGTGGCAACGCCATCTGCCCATCAGAAAAACTGCTGTCCCACCGGGCTCCTTTCCCTTCACCCTCCACACCAAGTCAGACAACCAGTTCTACTGGGTAAACCCCCCAAAGAGGGGTCACAAGTGTCTTGCCATTTTTGTCCCCACAGCCACCACTGAGCTTCAGCTTTTCTCATTTGGACTTCTGCTCTGACTGGTATCATTGCCTCCTTGTGATCATGTAAAAATCTCGGGGCCATCTCCTCACTCTTCCTTCCACTTATTTCAATCTTTCCCCACTTTGTACAATTGATAAGTTCTTACATTCAAATCATTCTCATTTGTACTTCAAAACCCACTGACAGTCCCTTCCTGGAAGCTCTTTCTGTTTTCTGCTCCTTGATGTCTCTACATCTTATTCTGGAATTTTCTATCATTCTTATCCCAACATTGTCACTAGGTGTCCCCATTAGGTCAGGAGCCTATTGAGGGCAGGGATTGTGTCATTTCTTCTGCCTCCTCACCTCTGGGTCCTGTGTCTGGCACATGGGCCAAGCAAATGGCTCTTTGCAGGTATAAAGAGATGCTCTCAGCTCTACCCCCAAGGGGTAGGTGGGAGTGGGGAGAGGGAGCAAAAGGAGAGAGGGGGTTAATAAAAAGAAATCAGTAATTTTTTCAGTCTTTTAAAGATAGAGGTTTGGATTCACCTCTGAGGGCACACAGTTCTTTGTATCTAGAAAATTTTAATTATCCTTTATGCAAAAGTGAGGTTATAATCATCAATTGCAAGGGAGAACTTCTAGAGCCAATGAGGAGCTAAACTATGCTGCATGAAAATAAAAAAGGCAGTCTTAATTGATGACACAGAGGCATCCACAGAACTACTATGATATAATTGGGAGACTGGCTGAGATGAAAGGAAATGGCATGGTTAGGGGAGTGGTCTGCATCTGTGATAAGCAGGAACTTGACCAGAACACTCCTGTGAAAAGTAGACCTGTCCTGGCTAATGGCAAGGGCAAGAGGGGGGTCCCTGAGACCCAGGAGGGGTCTCAGAGTCAAAGGACCTCAGAAAACATACATATGGTACAAAATTTCAAGGCACCCGACTCCCTTTATCATTTCTTCAGTAAAGCTTTTCTAAACATCACAGCTCCATTTTAATTGAGATTTGGGAACTTAATATAGCAGCCCAGTGTCTATTGTCACTGAATCAATACAAAGGCCACCAAAATAGTCTAAAACAAATGCCCAGTTTATTACCCACCAGGCAAAGGAGAATCAAATTACTTAAGAAAAGTCAGTGAGTCTTTCCCAAACTAAAAGTGAAAGGAATAGACGTAACATGGAGTAGTTTTCTTCCCCCACATTTCCAACTGGGGCATGTATGAATACATAACAAGAAATCCCATCATTATGTACCACTACAATGCACCAATGTAAAATGTGGAAAATTTTAAAATAAAATGTAAAAAAAAAATAGTGGATTGTAAATTCTCTCTTGAAATTGGTTTTGGCTTCACTGAGGCATAGGTGAGGGAGATTCATAATGGGTGGCTTAAGGTTCTACAAGTCTCACTATCTCTCAGTGGGCAAATCTGAATGGGTATGCTTGAGGCTTGATGAAATTTTAATGTTCCCACTGGGGTAAAACTATACCTAGGCAGCTTATAAACAACTTTTTGACACAGATAGGAAGTTCAAGGCCTGATGTCAAGCCAAAGTGACAAGTAACAACTGGTGAATTTTGAAATCCTGAGAGATTCCCAGGGCACCCTGCAGAGGCTATTCTGGTAAAATATTAGTGGCTCAGATGAAGGATAATTGAAGGGAGAAGGACTCTTGAACTCAGACCTTGTAAGGCAGAAACAAAATCACCTCAACTCAATTATTATCTACAATTAGGAATACTGACTCTTTATTGATTGAACTCAGAATATCAATTCAGAGGTAGAGGTGAGAAATTAAATCTATTCTGCACAAAGACAACAGTGCTCTCTTGTACACCAAAACCCACAGATGCTGGTTTTGTCTATTTAAGCAATGTAAGGCTTCCACTTTTTTCTTCTTATTTTTCTTTTTTTAGAAATCATTATCATTTCCTGTCTATGAAAAATTACCACTGAGGTATTGTTCATTTTTTTTTAACACAATTGAAATTGTACATGGTAGGAAAGTTTTTAATTAGTTCATTCCAAGCAGGAACTGTGTGTGCTCACTGCAGTAGGAGCCTAATAAATTACTTCGTAATCTCAATTGGAGGCTTTGTGTAGGAAAATGCTCATTAGTTTGCACCAGAAGCCCACAGCTTCCCATGAAAGGTCTTAAGAAACCTGAGGCAGTAGGTGTAGCTCAAACTACTTGGAACAGATCTTCTGGGACTGTGAAAACAAACAGGCCTGGATGGTGGGGGAAGCCATGCAGATCCAAGCTGTGGGGTCTGGGGACAAAAGAAGTTTGAAAACTCCACACCAGCAGCTTCTGCCCACCCAACACTTCCCGCTTTTAAAGCTCTTCTCCCATCCCTAGAAAGTCTCTTCAATTCTCAAATCATTCCAGTACCCTTTATGAAGTGTGCAGAAATTGAATGCTTGGGAAGTACTTGTCACAGGCCAATAAGAAAATGTTTCTATCTCCCTATTTAGATGGACTGACAGAGAGATGGGTGGATGAATGGATGGATATAGACATATAGATATAACAAAGTAGGAGGGCAGAAGTGTTATTAGCCCAACTGGCAAGATAATTTCTCTCACTGAATATAAAATGTGATATGTTGGTAAGTCACTTGAAATAAAGGGTAGGATATAGAAAGTCATGCTCTTAGGATAAAAAATGGCCCCTCAAACTGCTTTCTAAGGAGAGATGGTCTTACTAATTTCAGAATCCTATTAGTTGCAACTTGGTAGCTGATACGGAGGAGGTAGAATTGTTTTGCAAAATAAAGGGGTGAGAATTTGAAACTGTGGAAGAGAATTCAGGGAGAGGATGAACCAATAAAAGCAAGACCTTGCATGCAAGAAAGGAGAGATGGGGAAACATACACCTTCGAGGAATAAGACAGCTGAGGTGTCTGTGGAGACATTAAGTCACCTTTGAAGTTATTTGCTGTAGGAGGTATAAGGTAAACTGCTCCATCTGCCCTAGAAAACTCTTTCCCAATGCCCACCCTGAGACCAGTGTTCATGTGCAAGGAGTTCGTTAAGGAGAATCTCCCAAGGGAGACCAGTAGCTGAGTGAGCAAAACTAAAGAAGAAAAAGTCAAATAAAAGCAAAGTCACAGGCAAAGATCTTCAGCCTGATCCTGCAGGGAACTCTGGAGTTGCCCCCAGTCAGGGCCAAAGGGGCTGAACTTCAGTACTACTGCGCCTGGCAATCCATTGGCGACGATGGGGTTGGGGAGGGGGCTAAATTCTTGAGTATTTCTGAATCTCTGCAACAAGGAAAAGGGTCTCCAGTAATCTGAGTGAAATGCTCTAAAGAAGTGCAGATACCACACATTAAATGTCAAAGGGCAGGGCAGAGCACAAAACAGTAAAAGGGAAGAGAAAGAAATCTGATAGACATTGATATTACCCACTACAATTCCTTAGCAAACTGTATATTTGCTCCTCAATGTTTGAGTATGAGTCAATTCTTCACAA